TCGTGTATTTTTTGAGAGTTTTGAATAATTGCATGAGTTGCGCGTGCCACTGTAGCGCCGTAACATTGGTGTTCTGTGTACCGGAAGGTGTGCGAGCCGCTCGACCGCCCATTCAACTAGCTCCGTCCGTTCGACCCGCTGCTGTGGGATCCGGATGCACCGCTGCATGCAAATACAAATGTATTGTCGAAAATGGCAACCGGTTGACTAGCAGCCACCCACAGGCAGACTACCACAGACACACCACACCAAACACACACACACACACACATTCTCTCTCTTGCGCTCTCAGTCCCAGTTGGTTGTTTGGCTGGTTGCCGGCATGCATCAGGCAGTTAATAGCTCGGCACATTGACTTTTTATTCATTTTAAATGCTCCGACATTGCAGATTTATGGGTTTTCTATTTGGGGCGGAGGAGAAAGGGCCCAGAGGCGTGGCCAACCCCCCCAAAAAAAAGAAGCCCCAAACGACAAAATTGCCTGCCCTTAGCAACTCACTGCCTCTGCACCTCTCTCTCTATGTCTCTCTCTCCCTCCCTCTCTCTCTTTCTCTCTGGCAGCGTGTCTATAGCTGCTCTTAGCCGGCTTTTTGGAAACAATACAGCTCCAGTGCCGGGCGGGCGGGCATCAATAAATAAACTGGCATAAATTACGCACAGGCCAATGACACACACACACCCACACACAGACACCCCCGACACCCACACACATTCACACACCCACAATGAACAGCGTGAACAATGTTGTTTGCGGCTAATTGACGTGACGTCACAGTTGACCCAGAGATATTCCATTTCACAATCAAAATAAATGACTTTTGGGATTCGAAAGTGAATAACGAAACTTCAAAACAAGAAAACTGAATATAAAACACATCACGCACAGACATGTTGGGATGATGGAGCTGTAATATTGGATTAGTAAAAGTTGCTCTAAAGAAAATTAGCACGACTCGGAAATGTCACAGCGTAAAGATAAAAGCATATATGGAATAATTCTAAATAATTTCTGTTTGCTTTCAAGAATCTTTTTGGCAAATATATAAATATGTATCTAAAATGTAAAGCAAAAATATATAAACGAAAAAATAAAATAAATATACATATATGAGAAAGCATGAAATGATTTAAATTCTAATCTGTTTTAGAATAAATGATATAAAATATATTATGCCTTATAATTTATATATTGTATATGTTATTATTATATGATCTTTTAATTTATATATCATAATATTAATATAATATAAATATGTATCTAAAGAAAATTTTGGAATGAAAAAAATAAATATATATGAGAAAGCATAAAATGTTCCAAGTTCTATTCTGTTTTAGAATAAATTATATAAAATATATTATGCCTTACAATTTATATATATGTTATTATTAAATTATATTTCAATTGATATGCATCCAAATATATGATAATTTGTAACGTACAACTATTATATAGATGTATGTTTACTTTATATATATGTATATATTTTTAAATGCTTCTCTCTATATAGTCGAGTCTCAATAGTTTGTACCCCACTTAATCGAAAATCGGAATAAATCGAAAATCATTCTATCCCCTTGATAATTTGAATTTATGTGTAAATCGAAAAAAAAAAAAATGTTCTGGGATTCGACCGTATATTAAATTTAGAAACAATTCTTTGAGTTTTATTGCCGTCATATTCGTCAGAGCAGAAAGCTATAAAAATATGCAATGACTCTGGATGGATTGCTCTAAAGATTCAAACGTCGAATGAGATTGTAATTTAATGTATTCAATTGAAATGTGTTCAATTTGACATTTCTAGCTTTAACTAGTGATAAAATAGCAATCAGGCATATCTAACTACAAATGCATCTAAATGTATTCAAATCAATTTGCCAAACCTAATGTCTTATAGGTCTGCATCTAATGAAAAAACTTTAGTTACAAAAGTTTCATATATAAAAAGCTTTAAGAACTTCTCTTTTCTTATTTTAAAATTGTTTCTATTTTTCTGCAATTTCTGTCTATATCGAAAAATATTTCTCCTCTCCGTATAAATTCGATTCGTGCGCCTTTATCATCGTTTGCCACTTGAGAGTTGCGAGTGCCTGCTGAACCTGAGCTTGTTAGCCTGACAAGTCAATTTCTTTTTCAATTTCTAAGACGCGGCAACGCTGCGGACATAATTTGTCAAAAAAGACAAACACAATAATACAAAAATAAAATTTTTTTATATATATACACACCAAAACAAAGACTTTACTGCCACTTGGAGCAGAGCTTGGTCACAGCTTGGCGCGTTGATGGCTACTAAATAAATTGTACAGGGCAGGTCTTTAGTTACTCTTGGCAATGCTGGGACAGATGCTGCGGCAGCTCGTGCTGCCTGTGGCTGCCCGTGGCTACCACCCGTCACGGTCAACAACAGGAGCAGCAGCAGGAGCAGGAGCGAGAGCAGGAGCAGCAGCAGTGGCAGCAGCTGTGACCGCATAAGCGAGGCTTGACTGTAGCGCGACTACAAGCTGTATTCAATGCCGAGCACATACGCTTTTTGACTTTGAACATCCGATTGCCAAGGCATTTTCAACGCGCCAAAAAACGCTGCGAGCAGCGTGTGTGTCCTCGAGCGAAAGAAAAAATGTCAATGCTGTTGCTTGTGTTATTTGTGCTCCTGCTGTTGCTCCTGCCGCGCTCCTGCTGTTCCCGCTGGATTGCCCCGTCATCTGTCTCGCTCTAACCATTTGGCGCCCCATTGTTGTTCCAACTGCGTCCGCCGTAATTTGTAGTGCGCAATGAAGCATTTCCCTTGATTTTGCGGCATCTTTACTCGCCTCGTTAGTGGCCAACAAACGACAGCAGCCATGACAACGCCGACACACTAGAGCCACGACCAAGAGCACAACCACGGCCAAAGACCAGCGCCAGCAACGGCACTAACCAGGGCTGCTAGCTTATAGCTAGCTAGCTGCTGGCGTTGGCAATGCCAGCGCCTGGCAACATGTCCTGATTTAATTGACAGGAACATAAATATTAGCGCATATCTTGGCTGGATGGCACAGTGGCACCATCCATTGCCCCCGTTCCCTAACGCTACAGGATGCCCTCGTCTCGTATGTGACCTGTTGTATGTGTGTGTGTGTGTGTGTGTGCGTGCGTGTGTGTGTCCATGTCAAAGCGTCTGAGCAGCTCGTTAAGCTGTCGCCCCGCCACCATGTGGCATCCACGTTTATTACGCTACTCTTAATGCGCGCATTTTACAACCGAGTTGCTGTTGTGTTGTTATTTATGCGGCCCGGACTGTAGCAGCCACACATACTGGAAATCAGGCTAGCAAAACAACGAAAAGAGATTCATTGACCAGATTCAACAAAAAACAATCTCATTGACTCAGTTCAGTCTCTCTCTTTCTCTCCTCCTTCTCCTCCTCTATCTATATGTAAATGCACTTAAGGCCCGAGTCATTTATTTTAAATGCCAGTTAATTACTTTCATTTACCGCATAAATTACAAACAAAAAAGTTGAACTTAAAACGCTGCAGTTGAAAAATAAACTTTTATCGATTTGCAAATTGAATTGAAAAACTGTTCATTGAGCGGCAAAAGTGTTCTGGCTTTTATTTATTTATAATACGAATTGAGATGCAGCAGCAGCAAAGTGAACGGAAAAACCTGATCAAAATGCGCCACAACATATGTATGTATTTATTCAGTTATGTATCATTTATAGAAACAAATATCAAAGCGGAATCAAGAGAGGAGCAGAAAATATTTTAAG